AATCTCCCCACCCCTCCCCAGTTGGCTTGGCTATGAGCAGCTAATCCTAGTGAGGACAGGCAGTAAGAAGTAGCAAACACTATAAATCACCACCTGGGAACGTTAAGTTCTATGCTGATGCATGTTATAAAATGAATGCACTGCTGTGACCTCCCAGCCCACTATACACATGTTCACCCTCCTTGCTTGTCTTTTTGTCAGGCTACAGAACTTTTTCCCATTCAATTAACAAGAAGGAACTTATAAAAACCAAACATATCAAAAGGAATCCTTTATTGAGATGAGACAATTCATGCAGGAGTTCAAAGCAGTGTCTAAAGTCTCTCAGACATACAGGGATAGATAAGGGAGTTTAGAACCCCTCCCCTTATCTTGATGTGTATCTAGTGAAACAAAAGCCAGTATGTTAATTCCCTCCCACACCCCTTTTGTAAGGAACGATCTTTTTCAGTTTCCCAGGACATATCTCACTGTGGAATTTTTCTGGTGTTCTCATCTCCTGGCTGTGCCTCTCAGAGGTGATAGGTTCTGGCCATCTGGGTTTCCTCCTTCCATTGTATCATGTGTAGGTTATACAAATTCGATATAAGATTAAATATATTCAGGTTACATCAAGAAAGGATTTCTTTATCAGTCTCCCCCCCCCTTTCTTCTTCCACTGAAGAAATGACAGATACACGGATCTGACACTTTTCTTATATTTTAAATTTTTATTATTATTCATCCTTCTGCCTTTCTACTTTTTCTTTTTCCTATAGTGGCATAAGACATTTCGAGCAGAAAAAAACACTCTAGCTTTCTCATTGTTTTGGAGGGCACTTTTAGTGCATTTCAATGGAGTATGGAGCAACCACAAAAAAGTAAAAGTAAATCAGATGGATCTGCTCATAATGACTAGGTTGTCTTTCCTTATCTTTCAAGCAGCCCTTGTCTCAACAGCTATCCACAGCATTGTGCTTGGCTCCATGCTTTAATTCAAAAGCAGGATTCTCCCTAATTAATATAAAGGAACTCTTCAGAATTTCATTGTTCTGTTTCATATTTATAATTCTTTCTTTGGATAGAGTTGTCACATCTGGAAATGCACCAAAACTTTTTAGAGTGAATTTCAGCTACCCATTCACAAGTCAGATAAGAGAGTGAGAGGAACCAAGAGTTATTAAGCATACTGTATGTATCCAGCCTGATAGCATGGCACCTTTGCATGTTCTTCCTGGGTTATAATAAGTTTTTTCTGTTTTCTCCCTACATCACCATCTGTGTTTTCTTTGTTGATGTTTCCCAACTGTTATCAAATGATCTGAGTATAAGGTATGCTGGTTTGATGCCAGTCCCTTACATAACTGTAATGAGCACTTGTGTAATCTATGGAGTGTGTTTGCAAGAAAGAGGCTGAGAAAGAAGTGGATTACATCAAGTGTACCTGCGTAATGCTATGGCAGTTTGCCCATCTGTTTGAAGTACCTTCCACCTGGCAAAAAAGTTTATCACATCCTGGATCAGCATTTATGTAACTGCGAGAGGATTAAGCTAGAATAAAAATCTTGGTTTCACTGGAACTGCACTTCCAAAGCAAACATAAGTAGGTATTGAGCGTGCAAGTAGATACTGAGGATATAAGGGATTTACTATACACCTCATATCTGCAACTCCATTCTTTGTGTTCTTCTTTGGGTTATATGGACTCACAGGTTGGATTCATGCTGTAATACTGCATAATAGAAAACATATTTCAAGGTTCCTGTGCATTTTACATTCAGATACTGCTTTTGAACAATTTCCAACACTACAAATCAAAAGATATTCTAAAACTAGCTACTCCATTTTATTTATTTCTTTCATATGGTTGCCTATCTCAAACAAGATCCTAGGTGGCTCAGAACAATCAATAAAAACAGGAATAAACACAAACCCAATCTTCCCACCAGTGCTTTCTTAACAGATATAGTGTGCTGAAAAAACAACCGAAAAAAAGTGAGAGTTGCAAGCAGATGATGGCATTGCCTGGACTGAATGTGTTATATGCAAGTTAGTGTGACTATATCTCATCTGAGTTGAATGAATTCACAATAGAAGCTCCTCCAACCCCCAGCCCCCGCTAATGGATTGCCACCATTCCCCAAGCAGATAGGATGTTGTTGTTAGTTGCGAAGTCATGTCCGACCTATCGTAACCCCATGGACAATGTTCCTCCAGGCCTTCCTGTCCTCCCCCGGAGTCCATTTAAGCTCACGCCAATTGTTTCAGTGACTCCATCCAGCCACTTCATTCTCTGCCATCCCCTTCTTCTTTTGCCCTCAATCGTTCCCAGCATTAGGCTCTTCTCCAATGAGCCCTTCCTTCTCATTAGGTGGCCAAAGTATTTGAGTTTCAACTTCAGGATCTGGCTTTCTAAAGAGCAGTCAGGGTTGATCTCCTCTAGGTTTGATTGCCTTGCAGTCCAAGGAACTAGCAGGAGTCTTCTCCAGCACCATAGTTCAAAGGCCTCAATTCTTTGGCTCTCAGCCTTCCTTATTGTCCAACTGTTGCATCCATACATTGCAACTGGGAAAACCATAGTCTTGACTATACACACGCTTGTTGGCAGGGTGATGTCTCTGCTTTTTAGTATGCTGTCTAGATTTGCCATAGCTTTCCTCCCTAGGAGCAGGTAAACTAAAACAAGGATAAGAAAGCTTTCTGAGTCACTGGCAACTTTACAATCTGGAGAGTCTGTTACGCTGTTCTCTGAAAATGGCTGCCTTAGATGGAGTTGCACATTCACTATAAGGCTTGTATGTAAAATATTTTAAGAAATTGATTTAATAAAAAGCATGTGGAGAACTGGATTCCCCACTACGCTATACCACATCACACCCTCTAATGTTTTGATGGTGCTATCTATTATCACAGGGTACTCTCTCAGGTGGACATGTTTCCAAACCAAACATGCATTTCCAAACTGCAGGCATTTATAAAGTTTAATTGCTAACAGTGTGTGTGGGATCCATGTAAAGCCTAGTGGCATTATTGAAAATAATCTATGCTGATGCTTTGCTTTGCAGTGGGTTGGCTTCTCGTATTTTAAAGGAAAATAATTTAATAAATAAAATGAAATCAGGTGAGACAAGGAACCTGCTGGGCAATAACTGAACAAGGGTGTAACTGAAATTTGCAGCATAGTTCAACAAAGAGATTAAAGAAAAAGATTAAGTTGTGTAAGATTTCTGCAATGCATTATGAACCAACTATCATAAATGTCATTTTAACACTCCTCCCCCCCATACTTGTTCAATTTTGTTTGCCTCTTTCATTTCACCTTGCTCCCATCAGTACTAGTTTCCTAGTAAGTGCAAGTAAATTATTACCTAGTAGGAAGCTGCCAGAAACCACAGAGTGGAAGAGGAGATGGAAGAATACAAAAGGACTGATGGTGGGAAAGTAGGTACTCAGAAGAGAATCAAGTCTTGATGCACTTAATTTTTCAGAAGATATAATAATAGTAACAGTAGCCATAATCTTGGATTTTTTTAAATGCTTAAATGAATTTTTAGTAATTCCAAATCAATCTCAATATTCAATTAAATTGACAACACAAATGTTATACATGCATTCTTTGCTCACCATTAGGGAAGGCAACTGAAACATTGTGCAATTCTACTTAGAATTACTAAAATACACATAGGAATGCATTTGTAAATTACATGTGCGTCTCTCAAGGGCTAATTCAATTCAAAATAAAATCACAGAAAGTATCTCAAGAATTATAGTCCAAGTTCAGCTTTGGATACCTACTGGTATTTCATCACTCTTTCATTTGGGCTCACTTGATTCCTAATCCAAAAGGTGAATACAAGTTGCTTAGTGATGCGAAGTGATAAATTCCTTTGAGCAGGGGTGCCAAACTCAATCATGTTGCAGGCTGGATTGTGATGTATCATATTTTGCCTTTGCGGAGCTGGGGTGGGCATGGCCTATGTGGGCCATATCTGGCCCATGGGGCCACCAGTTTGACAGGCCAGCGTTAGCGTTTGTGCTATTCAACTTCCTTAATTGTATTTCAGAAACTAGTTCTATGCAGTATCAGTCAAACATTATGAGTACATGTATATTTGGAGATAAGTCCAATGAATTGTATAGGAACTATAGGTAGATCTTGACTTATAACCATTCATATAGCAACCATTTGAACAATGGTTACAACAATGTTAAAAATGTGACTTATGACTGGTTCTTGCACTTACTATTGCAGTATCTGTGATCATGTGATCACAATTCAGGCACTCAGCAATTGTGTGATTCATTTAACAACTGCAGCAAAAGACATAAAATCGTGTGTGACTTAATTTAATTACATCACTTAATGATGGAAGTTAAAATTGTGGTTGTAATATGCATAGAGGAAGACATATCTTCAATCAATAGTAGGTCCACACGTACTTTGTTGACTATGTTTGCATTATTCAGGTGACCCTGAGGACACATAAACCTCCAAGTGCATCAACTACTCTCTAAAAGGATGCAAATGATCAGCTGTCTGTAAGGAATATAAATCCTTCCATTCATCCAGTCAGAGCTAAAGAAGCTTCTTGGATGAAAAGTAAAATGTCTTCAAAGAAAAAAACATAACAAGAAAGTCCAGTTGCCTCCTGAAAAAGCACCTTTGGGATAACCGTGACTTGGATGACAGACGAAGAATCTCCATAGACTGAAAATGACCCAATGACACATAATCAACCATTCCAGACTGCATCATCCTTTCTTTTATTTTTGACAAACTTTTACTTTTGTTTAAAATATGTTATCCTTCTTTGCAGCAATATAAGGTCTAAGGCCATATAGAACTTTGGGCATCAGAGGAGCAAAAATTCCAATATAAATGCAGGCACAGACTTGTGAAGCAAGCGGGGTGGGCAGAAGGTGTGCGGGGCTTGCAGTACAAAGTAGTTCATAGATCACCAGATATTTCCTAGATTCCCGAAGTTTCTGTTCCATTGTGGTGATGGTTTAAAAATCAAATAGCATTCTAAATAAAGATCCTTTGACCCCTGTGAACGGGGTGGGGAGGGGAGAGGAGGGAGGGAGAAAACCCGAACTGGATGCCTTGAAGGAGGATAGTCCTCACAGATTCCCCACCTGGAGGAGGCACCTGCTTCTGGCTGCTTTGCTGTGTTTCTGGACTGAGCGCGCCTGTTGTCCTCCGGGGGCTCTAGCAAAAACCGAAGCGGATCCCGCCAAGGTTGAAGTCGACCGACGGGACGGAGCAAAAGGTTCTCTCGGGGCAGCCGGAGGCGGTAAGACAGCCCGGGGTGAAACATTAGTTACGCCGCTGGCCTGGCTCGGCGGCTCTGTTCCTACTCGCGGCCTTTCTTCCCTCTGGCCGGCTGCCGGAGTTAACTCGGGTAAGGCGGCGTCCTCGGCTGAACTCCGTTCGGCGAGGGCGTCTCTGATGCGCTGGGGAGGCGCCTATGGCAGATGCGAATTGTCGCTGCGGCCCCTGTTGTCCAGACTGCGAAGCGGACGTCCTCCAGCCGAGCGAGGTGACGCCGCCGGGGCGGAAGGGAGACGCGGGCCTGGCTGCAGACGCCTTTGGGTGGGCTTCTCTCAGGGGCCAAAGTAGGTTGATTGAGCCAAAAGTCTCGTGGTTTCTATTCGCTTACAAGTTTTTATGGGGTGTGTGTATTAGTTTCAACTACCACGTCCATTACGGTGACCGCCAAGTGATGCCTTAGACGTGTCTGGCGCTCTCCTGTTTGATCCCAGCTCTTCCTGCTCCGGGGAATCTCGGGTTTGGGAGGGGAGGGTTATACTCCGTCTCTCGGTTACTCAGAGGACCCGGAGTTACGAACAATTACAACAATCTCCGTGTAAGGAGATCGTGCAGCGTATGGGTTGCTCCCGTTGAGAACTGGGTCAATAAATCCCTCCCGGCGCTTAATGACAGAGAAGACTTTCCCAAGGGCGAGCGGCGTTGCTCTGCTCCTTTGTTCGTGTGTTTGTGGTCTCCTTCCTTTTTGCCCCATTTCATTCTGTCCACCCGCCGCCCTCTTTTCCTCCCGGTTTCCCTTCGCCGCCTCCCTGCCTTATACGGAAGCGCCCAGTAACCCGTTACTAGCTCTAGGGAGAACGCAAGGGAAACACTCCCCCCCCCCCCCCCCCAATTCACCATAAGGCCTGTCCGCTCCGTTTCTCCTCACCGATCTGCTGAGGGAACAAAGAGAAGCACCATCTTGCCCCTTCCTCAGCTCCCGACCTGGAAATGCACTTCTGGATCTCTTTCCATTCAAGGCTTGGAGCCCCCTATCTTATTAGGCACGGGACATGCTCCTGAGCATGTGCAGAGCATGCTTCCCTTGGACTTTTGAAAGGCTGAGCAAAGTTTTTTTTCCCCCCATCTGTCACTTGGAATTAGAGGATTTTGCAGAATTGGAAGATAGATTGGTTGTGAACAAGTTTAAGCTTACCGGGTTATTTACTTTTTAAAAAATTAAAGATGTCTTGGAGGCCCTGGGTCAGCGCACATATACACTTATGATTCTGGTTTATAATAATGTACACTATTTTATACCATGCCATTTTATTTTTAAATTGTCTTTATTTGGAAAATTTGGGATGAAGTATATGATTTAAACAATGTCAAATTATTTTAATAATATGAATGTTGATATGCTTATATAGTATTGTGATATGCACATGTGTGTGGAATATTGTGAAACCACTGCCCAAGTGGTGATATAAAGTCGGGGAGGGGGAAGGAAGGCAAATCTGCACAAAAATCTGCAAATTACATGTCACATAGATTACAAGCAACTTGTCAGTTAATAATTGTAATGTTAACAACCCATTGTGTTTGTTGAAACCTTCTGAGATTGCCTGAAATCTTTGATGAATTAAGTGAGAAGTTCCTAAATTCACATCCACTTTTAAATCCTACATCAGTCTAACCACACTAAATATCTTTAAAAAGGTACTACCAAGCTCCTGATTTTTTTGTCATCATAAACTAGTACAATTCGTCTCGTATAATATCCACAAGTAGTGATAAGAAGTGTGTAAATTTTAAGAAATACTACAAAAACAGCATTTGGTTTAATGCTGAAGTGTACATATTGATCAAAAAAATATATTTTGTGGAATTCTCTTCACTTACCTAATGCAGTTCTACATACTCAAACCTCTATAAGAAGCCTCTGTAGCTACTCTATTTGTTCTCATTGGAAGATCTACATTGGAGGAGACAGAAGTATGTTGTATTTCCTCTGAAATTATTCTGAAACATTGGACCTAGTGCAGAACTCGACTCTTAAGTACAAAGCATGTGCAGAATCCATGCTGCTGCTGCTACGGTTAAAGATGTTGTTAGAACAGATGTTAGAAAAGAAGTATTTCATATTTCTTGTTTTCCCAAATGATAGATCATCCTTTTAGAGCTGAACATATTGTTGGCTCTGTAAAGTATGTTTTCAGAGTAAGATATAGCTATCTTAAAACATTGCTTCAAGAGTTGCAACTCAGGTAGCCTGAAAATCCCCCCTTTCCCCCCCTCTCCTTAAGGCTCAAAAATGTATCTCTTAACAGATTTCCATCTAGTCAGGTTACTGGTCTCAGCCATACCCTGCAGAAATGGCTGCTGATGCTCCAGATTCCACTGGCGCAGGGTAAGCGTCAGTAAACAAACAGTTCAGCTCAGCATGTTCACAAGAGGAATATGAAGTTCTATCATGTACTCGTTAGGCCTTTTCCTTCTTGCACCCAACCATGACACATATTTGCCCCACCAATTACTATTTCTACATGATGTCACCTTCATCTCATTCCAAACCCATACTTAAGACAGGTCAAATTTGTTTTTGGCTGCTCTGGTTTTAAAGTAGCATTACCCTTTCTAAGCACACCAGATGTATTCTGGCTGTGGGTGAAAACTATTGAAGTATTTGCTTGTAGTCACAATCAGTTTGTCTTGAGGAAATGGGATCAGGCTATTGTACTGTCTCCTTTAAGTTAATGCAGGCCCTTCTGCTTTGAGGCCCAGGTGGTGTTTTCTAAGGCCATTCTGCTCTGAGCAACAGGAGAGTCCAATTCTTGCACATATGGCTCTCCCAGTACTCTCTCCCAGTACTCAGCTGGTTCCTAAATTGACCCCCTCAGCATGAGAACAACACTGGGGAATCCATGAGTTTCAAACCTTCCCGAAGCAGACTAGGGGTAGTCAGTGGCAGCAGTGATTTTTCTGTTTGTGATAGTACTTTTTCAGGAAAAGAACTGGTAAATATTACTGTAATTCAGCTGTGAAGACACCCCGCCCCTAACAATTTATAGCATCATCTGGCCATTGCAGATTTGTCTGCATTAGCATGTAATCACCATAGCAATCATTGAATGAAGTTATAAATCACTTGCATGGGTAGCTATATGTGGAGCATTTTGCAGCCCATCATAGCTGTAAGGTATGCTCTGTAGTTCTGCCAGTTCAAGGCCTTGTGGATAATTATTTCAACTCTGCCAAATGAAACAGCCGTTAAGAGAAGTAAATAAGATTAAGGATGGTAATGGGAGGGTGAAGTTGTGGCTTTTCTGGTGATGTTGTTAACTGAATTGAGTTTTTGTCCAGGCTCCTTTGATAGAATAGCATGTCTAGTCCTGTTCTTGGCCAGGATGTTCCAGATGAACTAGGTAATAGGGGAGTCAGCCGTGGGTGGGAGAGGTGGTAGCATTTCCTAGTTACGAAAGAGCCTGGAATGCAGAATAAGGAAATAAACCATTTGACTCTTTTTTAAAAGCTAGGAGAAGATTACCCTCAATTGATGTAGGGCTGAAGATAAACATTTCTATTTGCTGTTGGAAACAGAAAAAATCCCTAGTGACATTGCTCCCTGTTTTTTTTTATTGGTTTTTAAAAACAAACATAAACAAACAAAACATAAAAACATCAAGCTGTCTTCCATAGGTGTACATACAGTGTGCCGGTTGGTTTACAAATTGTTTTGTGCTTCCATTTCGTAGTCTTCATTTACAATTACATTACATATAATCTCATATTGTCAATCAAAAACCAAATACCTTAGTATCATTATTAATCAATCATTTGACTATACTTTTATTCATTCATGTTTTACAAGATAACCACAATTTACTTAATTTATTGTATAACAGTTCATATTATCATCCCAAATCTATCCTAAAATCATTTTGTAGTTATAATTAAAAAAAGTACATCTTTATATATTTATTATTTTCTAGAAATCTACATATTTCATTACTGTACTTTGTTATCTAACCATTGATAGAAAAGATCCCAAATTTTATAAAATTGTTTATCCTCTTGTTCTCTAATTTCAAATGTCAATCTACTCATTTCAGCACATTCCAATATTTTCTTAATTATTTCCTCCTGTGATGGTATCTTCTCATTTTTCCAGTTTTTAGCAAATACAATCCTAGCCGCTGTTAATACATTTACAATCAGGTAGTTCAAGTCTTTGCTATATATTTCAGGTAAAATTCCCAATAAAAATATCTCTGGTTTCAAGTCTATATGTTTTTTCGTCATTTTCTCCAACCACATGTGGATTTTAGTCCAGTATTTTTTGGCATTTGCACAAGTCCACCACATATGGTAATATGAGACAGGTATCTGATGACATTTCCAACATTTTTCAGATTTATTCTTGAACATTCTTGCTATTCTTGTCGGGGGGAAATGCCACCTATAAAACATCTTATACAAATTTTCTTTATATGCTGTTGACATTGACATTTTATAATTTTGAGACCACAATTTTTGCCATTTCTCTAGATCAATCCCATATCCAAAATTCTTCCCCCAAGCAATCATAGTTTCTTTAACTTGTTCTTCTTCTAGTTTAATTTCTAATAAATATCCATACAATTTTTTAATCACCTTTTCATCAGTACCTGTCAAAATCTTATCTAAGTCAGTCAATTTATCATAGAAACCTTCTGTTTTAGAATCTTTATCATACCTTGAATGTATTTGTGCATATGAAAACCAATTCATCTTCATACCTTGTTCCTCTAGTTTTTGCATAGATTTAAGTTCACCCTTTTCATTCAGTATTTCACCAAATCTAACTGTTCCTTTTTGTATATTATAGGTTGGATATGAAAATGCTTCAATAGTCGATAACCAGACTGGAATTTTTGAATAACATTGTCTTTTAACCTTCTCCCAGTTTAACCACAGAGACTCCCGTATATGATGTCTTCTAAAATACCCCTGTGTTTTAGTTCCTTTGTACCATAAAAAAGCATACCACCCCAACAACAGATCATGTCCTTCTAATGTCAACAATCTAGCATTTCTTAGTGTTATCCATTCCTTAACCCACATCAGATTTGTAGCTTGATAATACAACTCCCAATTAGGCAAACCAAATCCTCCTCTAATTCTAGCATCTTGCAAAAGTTTTAACTTTATTCTCACTTTCTTACCTTGCCATATATATTTCAACACAATTTTATTTAAATCTTCAAAATAATCTTTTCCAAGCCTAATTGGAATTGTTTGAAACAGATATAAAATTCTGGGTAATATATTCATCTTGATTGTTGAGATTCTCCCTATTAGTGAGAGTTGTAAGTTTTCCCATTTCGCCAAATCTAGCGCTATCTGCTGTTTAAGTTTAATATAGTTATTCTCTTTTAATGTACTACATCTTGCTGTCAAATATATCCCCAAATACTTGATCTTATTCGTGACTTGAATTTTCAATAGGTCTGCCAGTTCTTCCTTTTGTCTTGATAGCATATTATTTGTCAAGATCTTTGTCTTATCTTTATTTATTTTCAAACCAGCCACCTTTCCATATGTCTCTATCTTTTCTATCAATTTTGATGCTGTTTCTGCTCCCTGTTTTTGTCACTTATTTTTCTAGTGTGTTTTATATATACCTCAAGTGCTATTGTGGTATGCAGTGCTGAAGACTGCATCCTTTATTCATGAATTAAATTTTATTTATGTAATATGCTCTATCTGATTACAGCTTTAATGTAATGTTGTGCAATAGGTGTATTACAGCTACCATATGAATTTTGTTTTTGTTTCTTATTGAAGAATCGTTTTTGTTTTTATAAATCCCCATCGTGGATAGCTTTTAAAAATCCACACTGTCAGTAGGTAGCTTTGAGCCAATCAAATGTATTTTGCATAGTGTATCTGGTAGAAGATAAAATTATTTGAATTTATAGCAAAATAAAATGTAAGTATTTAAGGCAAGTGTACTGCATTGCTAGCCAACTACTCTGAGAAATGGTTTTAAAGAGTTATCCTACTTCTTCAAAGTTCAACTTTTACTTTCATAGAGGTTCACAAGGAATACCACTGCTTGCACTATTTTGATCTTTGTAGTATAGACACATCACAGCAACTGAATATCTTTTCCAGGCCTTCATGGCTGCTCTTCCAAATGCAACTTGTTATATATTTCTTGGCTGTTTTGCTCCAATTTTAAAATTATACCAATCTTCTTTCAATCCAGCTTGAAGTCAGTGTTGGCTATGAAGAACAAATTGGACTAGCAGAAATGGATAGGTTGTTCTACTGCTTCGTTTTGATTTCTCAAGCCATATAGTCCAACTACATTTTCCTTAATATTTCCAACCTTGCCATTCCAGTCCCCAATCACAAGCAGCACAACTTGCCAGCAATCTATCAATAATCAATTTTAACTTGATCCTAAAACTCATCAACCTCTTCTTCTGATCACAAATTTGTATCAAGAGTACAAATCTGGATGATCGTCACATTAAAAGGTTGTTCACAAAAATCTAATCAATATCATTCAGTCACTGAATGTAGCCAAGTATTGTTCTTGCTGTGCCCTTCCTAACTATAAAAGCAATTCCACTCCATTGTTCTTAGCATCCTAAGTATTAAGCAGTGTGATCTTCTGATTAAAATATCTAATCCTGGGTAATTTCAAGTCTCTGATGTTAGTATATGGTAATTTTATTTCAGTTTTCAGTTTTCATCTATTCATGCTCCTTACATTCCATGTTCCTACGGTAATTCTGTTTTTTGCAGCTTTGGATTTTCTTTTGCTGAATGTCAAGATCAGCAATTAGATATCCCAAAGATTTTAATCTAGTCAATTCATAAGTACTGTACTATCAGCTCTCCAAAAATCCTCAGCTGTTCCTCACTAGCACGTTAAGTGTCACCTGACTTGAAGGAGTGATGGGATTCAATTTTTTTTACTACCGGCTCTGTGGCTTGGTGGGTGTGGCAGGGGAAGGATACTGGAAAATCTCCAGTCAGAGGTGGTATTTGCCGGTTCTCCGAACTACTCAAAATTTCCGCTACCGTTCTCCAGAACTGGTCAGAACCTGCTGAATACCACCTCTGACTTGAAGGATCCATTATTCAGCACTATACCATCAAATGTTTAGTATTTTCTGTCTGTATGATTTACTTGGTAAAAATGCAAGACTGGCTTACCATTGCCTTCCACAACACAGCATGAATTGATGTCTTCTCTATGGCCACTGAATGATCATTTGCCTCCAGCTTTTTCCTGTATCACTGCTGCTAAGTGTAGGTGTCTTCTTTACCTGTATAGTTGGGGTGACCTTCATGCCTTAGTTGGGAATGTATATATATACCCTGGGACATTCTCATCCTTCCCAGGACGCCCCATGAGATAGCACAGCAGGAATTGAGGTGGTGGTGCCCATCTGCAGATGAGTCATAAATAGTAAATTATCTCATTAGATGACTGTTTTGAGGATAAATGAATATGCAGTTAAAAGCATCTTAGGAATGACTAATAAATGTTAACATTTTAAAGATTGTCTCTCTGTCTTCTAGATATGTGGAGACATAGCAATCCTGTGTGCAGTTAATTTAGTGTGGCAAATAGGAATGTGTGTTATGGGGCTGCATCTTTCTGTAGTGAGTAGCAATATCAAACCTTATCAAAGCAGCCACCAGAGAGCCACAAATAGTTCGGCTTCTCTAAATCTCCTCTATTAAGTGGTCTTATGATTGAGGCCTTGAAGCTGTGGGAGCGACCATATACCCAAGATTCAGAACTATAGAGATCTCTTAACCATTTGGCCACCAAACAGCAGGCTAGGTATATGCATTTCCTTCTCTTTGACTTTGCAGGCCCTCCCCAAATGGGTACACTGAGGAAATCCAACTGTAATATTCTCTGATTTGTTTTCCTTCTTCCCATCTTGCAGGCTTTGGGGAGATGGATCTGCCTTTGGAGGAACCGCCAACCCAGCCTCCATCAGAACCACTATCGGCACCTCCAAATTCTATGCCGGTGGGTGAGCTCCAGAGTGCCATGTCTTGTTTTGCAGAGGAGACTGTGTCATTCCTCTCTGTCAATAGCTTGGTAAGCCAGTCCCTGCTCAGAGCAGCTAGCAGCCTGGGGGCACAGCAGAAAGAGCAAGGGGTGCCCTCAGCCATGGCCCGGCGCAAGCGAGAATTCACTCCAGATGATAAGAAGGATGATGGCTACTGGGACAAGAGGAAGAAGAACAACGAAGCAGCCAAACGCTCTCGAGAGAAACGGCGGGTCAGTGATTTAGCCCTGGAGGGACGAGTTTTGGCCCTGCTGGAGGAAAATGCCCGCCTGAAGGCAGAACTCCTAGCCCTCAAGTTTCGCTTTGGCTTGATCCGGGATCCAGTAGAAGCTCCTCAACCAGCACTTACACTGGCCAGTGAACTCCATCGGTCAGCCGCTCTATCCCAGCACTTCCCAGTGGCTCCTGAGCTACCCCGCTACCCTTGCACCTTCCACCCAGAGCCAGCTACCAGTTCTGAGGACTCTGGCTTTTCCACCCCAGGAAGTTCCAACCTGGGAAGTCCTGTCTTTTTTGAGGAACGTGACAGGTCAGAGGAAGGAATTATGTATGAGAGGCATTGCCTAGTACCCGATGCTTCAGCTGATGGAGCTGATCTGGGCCGTGTTGTCCGTTACGACTCCGGGGAGAGCATCAAAGGTCTTCCCCACAAGTTGCGTTTCAAAATGGCGGTAGGGTCAGAGGAGATAGCTGGAGAGCAATCTGCACACTGCCCACCTTCTCCACCGGGAGGAACATGGAGGGGGCTGGTGACACGGAAAGACCAGCTAAGCACAGGGTGTTCTGCAGGTCCCCTGGCAGTTGAGAGTAATGGTGAAACGGAGATCCCCAGGGCCCCTCAAGAACCTGAGTACCAGGTAGAGAACCGCTCCCTACAATGTCAGCTGGCCTCACTTTCAGCTGAAGTGGCCCAGCTGAAAAAACTGTTCTCTGAACAAATCCTCATCAAGATGAATTGAAGGGGGGAGACAAAGGTAGAAGGCGGTCCCTTTTCTTCCCTTCTTTCCTAGGGCTACCAAATGTTGGCTGCAAAAATTGAATTACCACTAGATGGTAGGCAAGAGCTAATTTTTTTATCCATTTCTCTTCTGTCCTATTAAGTAGTCAAGAATTGTGCAGCCCAAATCTTGTATCCTTATTTTCCCCCTTTCCCATCTTCCAGTGCTT